AGAAACATTCGTTTGGGGTTCCTGACCTGGGATACGAGCTTGTGTTGTTGGACAACAAAAAAACTTCCTCATTTACAATGCTTCGTTTCTATCCAAGTACAAGTCCAACTGATCCAATTGATCATCGGTGGCAAATTCCGAGAGCACCATATCGACCAATTTGAAATTACCAGCCACAGCATCAATCAAAGGCTGATTGTTCTGAATGAATGTATCTTCCAGATACAACTTCCTCAAAGTATGATTATTCTTGACAATTCTCACCAAAGCATCCATACATTCATCGTCCACTCGTGTATTGAAAGAGAGATCCAACTCTGTGAGACAAGTATTCTCCACGAGAGCATCTGCCAATTCATAGACATCATCGTTTGAAATGTTCTTATTTTGCAAATTAATGGAACGAAGGAGTGGATTATTTCGTTTGAGCTCATCGGAAATGACTTTCACATTACCATCCTTAATTAATCGTTGAAGAATGATTAATTGTTGGCGTTCCTTCTCCTTTTTCAGTTTTTCAGCAGCTTCTTGTTCGAGTTTGAGTTGATGTTCTTCTCGTTTTTTCTTTTCTGTATTCTCAATTTGGGCAATTTGTTCTTCCATTTTTGCAATTTCTGATTTTGGTAAATACAAAGGATAAATATTCTTGACTCGTTCTTTCATGAGTTCAATTTCATAAGGTTGTAACAACTTTTCTGGATCTTTTTGTTTATCCAGAAGGAAATTCAAACTAGAGTTATATTCCGTTCGCTTCGATGTTTGATTGTGTTGTAAATCTTTTGCTTGTTTCAACTCGGATTTTAACAAAGTCACTAGATGCATTTTTGATTCCACATGTCGAATCCACTCTTGTAATTTTCCAGATTCATTAAATTCTGATAAAAGTTGTGTGAGTTGTGAAGAGAGAGATGCTCTTTCCTCTTCAATTTGTTGTTTCAATTTTCGTTCTTCTTCCTCCTCTAAAAGTTTCTTTCGATGCAGTTCTTCTGCTTCTCTTCTCTTAGTTTCTTCGAGTTGTTTTAATTCTAAATCTCTTTGAATTCGTTCTTGTTCGAGTTGAAGAGCTTTTTCTTTTTCGATGCGCTCTTGCTCGAGACGAGCTTGTTCTTGCTCTTGTCTCAATTTTTCAAGAGCTTGTTCTTCTTGTTTTCTACGTTGTTGTAACAATAGTGCAGATTCAGAAAGATTCAACGTTTCAGTGTTGGAAGTTGTGACAGAATTTGATTCTTCTGTGGAGGTAGTAGCGGCAGTGACAACCATTGAAGGAGTTGTGACATTACTTTCTGTAGAATGATGATTGACAGTGGTAACCGATGAAGTTTCTTTTGTGTCATCATCGTCACTCAAATCTGAGTCATCACTTTCTAACATGGATTTCATTTTGGCTTCCAATTCTCGTTGTTTTTTCAATCTCTCTTCAATTT